CAATTTCTATTTGATAATGCTATTGTATTGTATTTAAAAGTGCTTTTCAAATTCAAATGTATTTTCTCAAAAAATTATATTATATTGTGAAATACAAAGTAAATCAATTTCTCTTTTTTTTCTTTTCTTTTTTTATTTAAAAAAATAGAAGCAAATTACACAAGTGTTTTGAGGTTTATAAATGTCCATAATTAAGAACCCTTCGAATTAAAACCTTTTTAATTAATTATTTGAGTTTTAACTTTGGCTACATTTGTTTGTTGAAAGTGTTTTCTGAAAAACATTTTTTTAATTTTTCATATTTTACTACATACCCATGCATTTGTACATACAAACTCATCTATGTATATATTTTTATTTAGTTAATTAGTTATTTATACACACAAATACATGTATGTATATGCTTTTATTTGTGTTAAAAAATATCATATTACGATTACAAGATTAAAATTATCATGTATATAATCTTAATATGTTCAAGCAACAGTACTTATCAAACAATCTCATTATATTTAAACTTAATTTTTAATAAATATCAAATAACTTATCAGTAACATATTTAGTACTTAAGGTTTGCCTCCTCACCACCAGGGACAACCTCATATACAACTCTCACTCTCTCTAAATCTACCACTTTTAATTAGATAACAAATGAAGAAAAGAAAAGAAAAATGTACCTATCAAAACTCTAACAACTCAATAGAAAAGAGAAAAACTCCAAAATAGACTAGAATAAAAAAAAAATGTGAGTCCACCATGTCTCACAATTAAGTAGAAGGATTTGGCAAAAAATGTTCTTGAGGCAATAGTATTTTTGAAAATATCCATGTAACCACTTACCCACTTGTAATTTCCACCAACTTTCTAAAATTTGGCTATATTAAAAACAAAAACTAATAAAAAGCTCAAGTCTAATATACAAATCTAATCTAACATGGACAAGGACACCATTGCCTATTTATAGGTAGGTAGGTAAAAAAGTGGGAAACCTTCATATTAAATATGTAAAAGCTTAAACCTAGTAGACAAGTCCAATCTAAAGTGTATCAATGATGAGTTGCCATTAGTTCTATAAAGAAGTTGAGGTGGATGCCATTTTGATGAACGAGGGAGGGCCAAAGAGTCCAATTTTTTTATTCCCTCAAACATTCTCATGCAGAGTATTTAGTTTTCCCATACAACTTTAGATTTATCAAATTCATAGGCATTAAATGAGCCTTTAATACGCTTACTAAGATTAAATATGAAAAAGATGAGTAATAAACTACTAGTTGTCCTAAACATCATCAAATATCTTCTTAGAAATCCTAAACGTAAATTGAGTATTTGACAAGTATACTTGTCAAAGACTTAGATAGGCTACTTATATACCCACTTAATAATGAGCATGATATATGTCTGCATGCTTTATTAAAAGATCACCTAGACAAGAATTCATCCTAAATAAAATAATATAGACTAGCTGTCAATGACCATCACAATTAATATTAATAAATATTCTGAATAAAAAAGTTACTCCTTTAATCCCCTTGGTTTAAAAAAACGACATACATCTAATGAAGACGTGACCTCTTATGTCTCTATCACATCATTACAAGCTATTGATGCATATGAGCTCGTCGGACAACGACCATCGCTCAAACCTCTAAACCTTTAAGTAAATACCAAAAGTTGTAGAACAAAAGTAAAGAGACCAATTTATCATTCATTCTATGCAATTTGATCGCATCTTCACCTATATCAAGGTTGATAAGACAAAATGTTAGAGGATTCATCTTCTAAACTCAAAATAACTGTATTATTGACTATCTTGTACATACAAAAAAAATATCTCTTAACAAAAAATATCTCTTCACAGCCTATTTAAAATAAATACTTCTCTCTATGAGCTAATTTAGCCATCGGAAGGTCCCTTAAACATCAAAAGAAGACTTATTTTGTGAGTACTTGACATTGAACCAACATTTATTGAATCATCTCCATCATACGTTCAGCTTAGATAAGCAATCACATCATTAGCAATTAGCAATCATAATCTGATAACACCACCTTGTCATTAATCATGGTAACACGCATCAAAATTATTAGGTATGAAGTAGGGTGATTGATTTAAAGAAACCATCTACATGCATATATGGCAATTTAATATGAATTTGATGGACACCATTCGAACCTATCTAAACGAGTATATTTTTTTTATGAATAGTTATTATTTCGAGTGGGATGTGAATATCCCAAGTCTTACCTGTTGGATAATGAATAATATATGGATACTGTCAAACTCGATTCAAAATGCATATATTAGTATTATATGCATTTAGATGTACAATATTTATAATTGTTCCATTATATATATATATATATAATTCTATTGCTAATGTGTGTGTGATTCTTTTTTATTTTATTTTATGTTGAATAATAAATAGTACTTAACTAATGGATACCCAAAAGTCTTTAAACTATGGATAGATAGTGTGTGAATATTTTAAAAAATGTTTGGTAGATAATTAATATTATATAAATATTTAAATTTATCAATCGACGAGCATTGTATAACATATGAATGTGTGAAACTCAAGTCCTGAGTATCCATTGTTGTTCCTAGGGCATCTGCAGCATCAACAGGCTATTTTTTCAGAAAGAGGTAATGCCTTTTACGAATAAAAGTAAAGGCGTGGAAGTTTATAAAACACTGAGCCCATTAAGCTCCCGGAGTAAAAATCCAGGCCTAATCAGACCCAATGGCAAAGCTAACCCTGTTTTAACATTTCGCTACCAGGAGCCAAATCGACGGATAGGCTTTCGTGAAAGGCCGAAAGAACAAAAGAAGGAAAAAAAAAAACAATCACGGCCCAATTGAAAAAGTCCACTTCAGTCCCATTCAATACTCGTATATTCGAGACTGGCCCATTTAAAACAACAACATCAGCAACTAACTGGCAATTTCTTAAGACCATAGTCCAGCAAATTGCTTATAAGCTGGGGACAGTATGGGCCTAGCATAACCAAAAAATTCTAAGAACTGCAATCAAGTTAAACCGATCTTTACCAGTGTAGATTTGAAGCTGTCCTCAATTTGAGATTTGCAATGTGCCTAATAAGAAAAGCTGTCCCTTGATTTGAGATTTTCAATGTGCCCAATAAGAAAAGGAACGTGACAGATCTGAACGACAACAACCTGGAAGGAAATCATGAAATGCCGAGACTATGAGCAAGTTGCAAAGGCCAAAGGGAGTTCAGACTTCAGAGACAACATTATCTCAATTGTTGACCATAGTCATGGAAAGTAAGCGCCACTGGTGTTTTGAATGAGATGGCTCACCTATTTACTTACCCCCATCTAGAAGACGTATCAGCTCTCTCTTGATCATCCTTTGTTCCAGCTATGATTTATCCATTTCACCTACGAAAGATAGTACAAAATGCCAACGGTATCGATCGAGAGCGCGAAACTTGCTCAACATCCATATAGACACATTAGCGTATACATGTTGACAAGTATACTAACATATCAACCCAAATACAGATGAGTATGGCGTTCAATATGTCAACACATAAATATATACATGTTGATATATATATATATATACAAAGTGACCAACATAGACTATGTCCTCACATCGACACCATAGCATTGTCGGGCAGGGCATTAATTCGTGCTCAAATGCTAATATATAGGAATGTATATTTTTTTAAATCTAGTCTAATACGATACGAGTGAACTTATCTTAAAAACGAATATGTTACGATTAAATCCAACAAATCTCACCTTTATTGGCAGTAAGAGAGCAAATTTCTGAAATGCAACCTGAGCCGTGCCTATTTATAGTGTGATTCCACAGATTCAAATCATAAATTCCTGATAGAAAGGGCAAAAGCAGAAAAACTCGGGTTCCCAAAATTCTTATCCATACGTAGTAAACCTGCTTTCACCTCACACAGGAGCCTCTTCCTATTTTGTACGAAATACGAACCTGTCATTTGTCAATTCCTATATTGTCTTTTTTCGTAAGCGGCGAAGGTAAACAGCAAATCACTACAATTTATTCAAAAAAAGGAAAGAAAAATAGAATGTGGATAAACTAATATTTTTGTTTTTTTACCAACAACTTGAAAATATTTAATTTTGTAAACGTTTGACAATTTATGCCGTTATGCTATCATGTAGTAACCTATTTAAACTACCTGAAATATCCAATAGGAAGTTTCCTCGCTACTGCAAAAACTGCAACCTCACGCATTCCTGTTGGTGCCATCTATCTTTGTAATCTCCGGGCTTTTTTTTCTTTCAAAATATTCTTGAAGAGGTGACCGATTTTTCGTTTTATAATATTGTTTGAATAATTCAATGCTGTCTGTCTGGTTGTTTCTTGTTGAACCATAAGAAAGACCGCATGAGGACTTCTGGGTTTTTCCTATCTGCTCTCTTTTTGCTGATCTTTGGTGATTTTTTGGGTATTCTCGATCTGGGTTTTTCTTCTTGAGGCCTGCAAAGTTTCTATATTTTCAATGAGGTAAAGGATTCCTTTTGTGTTTTATTGAGGGTTATATGTTGTAATTTTGATGTTTTGGGATTGAGTATAAGCTGAAAGATGGGAAATTTGTATTTGTTATTTCAGAGATTGATCCGCGGACAATTTGCAAAGCTGGAGACTTGTAGATGTGAATTATTGGGTTTGTTGCATATTTTATGAAGAATTCTGTCAGGTATTTTTTCTTCTCGTATCTCTGGCGCTGGTTCTGACTTGGTTCTGACTTGTATAGAGACATATTCAAGGGATTTTGATTTGATTCAGTATCACCTTCTTCAGCTCTGATATTGGAGCAAATAAGGAGTTTTTGTGCCTAGCCTTGCGATTTGACCGTTGAAGAAGGATTTTGATGTTGAACTCAAATTGACATGTTAGCAAAGTCGACTTAGCAAGTTTTTGGGTTGGATTGACTTGATTTATAAGCTTGCTACATTTTGGATTTGATATTCTTAGATAGCCGAAAACATTATGCACATAGATAGGGAAGAGCCTGTTGGGAACGAGGAGGCAGAGGAGATGGACGGAGACCTCAAGGAGGATACTCCTCTCGGGGATATCCCTCTCCACCGCCCCCGTTTTTTGGGAATGGTGAGACAGAAAGCCTATATATTTGATGGTGCTGGAAAATATTACAACAGAGATTGGGATTTTGCAGAACCTAAAGAAAACGAGTTCTGTTGGTACCATGTAGAGCTTCCAAAAATTAATCAGAAGCTTCCGCTCTTCGCACAAAGCCTCATTGACATTCTTTGCCCACCTTTGAAACTCCAAGATATTCTGTCACTTGTTAGCAATGGCCCCTTTTGTGGTCATGTTAATGGAGCACTTGTGTTCAGAGTTAACTCTCCTGGTCCTCCAACTAGCAATTATACATTTAGATTAGCTGCTAGAGTTACTGAGAACTCGGTGATTACTGTGTCATTAGGACGGGTTCCAAGATTGGGTTTCTCACCAACGAGTAAATCTCTTCTCTCTGAGATTCCCAGTGTGGAGACCCATTCAAGTGGTGGGACTCCCTCACATCATGGAGGGGATCAAAAGGAAGGAAGTGGGTTTGTGATTAGAGAGCATGTTCTTGAGTTCTTATTAACAATGAACCACTCAGAGGAGGCTGATAATCCCGTGCCAGAATCTGTCTCAAATCTTGTTGTTCACATTATCGACACGCATGTCGACCACCTTCAAGATATTACCACCAAACTCGAGATCGAGCTCGACTCTGTGGAGCTTGAATTAGACAAAGGTAAAATTCCTACGTAATGACAGCTTATGGTCCCCCTTAATTTTTTGCATTGTTGTACACTTACTGTTTAGATTTCTTTTGGTTAGTTTTTTTGCCTTTTTCGGGTCATGAAGATGGTTAAGTGTTGAGTTTAATCTTCTTTAATGCTCATATATTTGCTCCACATTTCTAGGGACCCTAGAGTGGTAACAGTTTTAATTGATCTGGAAGGATTATCGGTACATGCACTTTATGCCCCGTGTTTATTTAGTAGTTGTGCATCCTATTTTGGACATGTTAGTTCCGTTATAATTTTGGAAAATTGCAACCTCTTATATCCAGTCCTTTCTGTCAACAAGTTGCAAAACAAATGACAATTAGAGATCGAAACTTGTCAAAAAAGCAAAATGTTGAAATGAAATTTGATAGGATCAATCCTGCATTTGCAACCTTGATGGTTTTTCTCAGTCAATACTGAAACTTAATTTGAGGGATAGGATATATCATAGATTGAACAGTGAATCCTAGCAACTGCAGCTTGCAACTTGGACTGCATGTTCTGATGTTTTTCTTGCCAACCTGATATTTGATATGATTTGCTAACAAGAACATTTTGGGAAGAGTTAAAAGGTCATCAAAGCATTGGCATGGTTCCCTTGTGAAAGGAGTGCTAAATGAGAAACGATTGCAGTTTGAAAAAAAGAAAAAAGATTGATTGTTTTCCACGTTGATGGGTCTAAATGAGAAGCTAACTCTAGTAAACTTGGTTATCATGTCCCACATGATTGTTCTAGAACATGTGGCATGTTCGTGCCATTCCAGATACCTAATTTTTTTATGTACCATGAAGTCCTTGCGGATACATGATGGACTCTCATTGTTATCTTAAAATCTATTTTCACTTAATGCCTAAGATGTTATTCTTGCTAAATTAAAGTCTATATAAACTCCCCGAGCAAAAAACATGGAATAGAAAGAAAAAAGGTCTACACAAAGTCTGGATTGCTTGAAAAATTTATGATAGATCAGCATATCTATGGACCATCAAGGTACTCAAGAAAACACGGTCAGCAACAGTTACATGCCTCTATCGTTATCAAAGAAAGCATTCCCTTTTCTATTTGTCCTGAAACTCAAATTTAGGTGCTTTCTATTTGGTACATGATTTCTTTCAACTTTTGAAAGGAAGCTGAGCGTTGTTTTTAATGGTATACTGCAGGAAGTTTTGCATTGAAGAAACAAATGCTTGATGATAGAAGATTTCCTAACATGCATCTTAATCTTCAACGTATATTGCAGGTAGTTTGTCCACCTGTTTGATTTCTTGTAAAGATAAGAAAGTTGTAAGTTGCTTGGTACATTGCGATATAATTAGGTGTTTGAGTAACGCACTTAAAAAATCATTCTGGAGAAGCTACAGAGACCACTCTACTAGAATAGCAGAAGGCGTGAAGCTTGAAGTCCTTGATTGGTATTGTTGAATTCTTTCAGGGGTCCGTATTATGGAGTTTGAAGTAGCCATTGACCATAATGGTTTTTAAGTGCATTTAATTTTTCACCAATAACATCATCTCTGCATTTTATACAGGAATGCGGATCCTAGATGTTGATGTTTTTGGATCATTTCTAGGAAGATTGCAACTCGTTGTGTCTGTTTTTCTCTACCAAATATAAAATCAAAACACATGTATTAAACCTTGCGTTTTAACTGAACTCAGGTGATTGCTCACGGGGAGCAAGTATTTCCGCGAGTAAAAGAAAAATGTTCTTCAAAAAAATGGTTTTCCAGTGAAGACATCAACTCCCTAGAAGAGTTAATTGGAAGGCTAAGGAGGCTAAAAGAGAATGTGGGGTTTATAGCAAATCGTGTCACAGCAATTCAGGCAGGTTTAGATAGCTGGCAGGCTGAGCAAATAAACAGGAAACTGTACTATCTCTCGTTCCTTTCAATAATATTCCTCCCATTGTCAATCATTACTGGCGGTAAATCTTTCTCTCCTTCTTGTCTCTTTTCATCATTGTTTAACCTTCTTTGATAACTGAGAATCATAATTTAATAATGCTAATACTTTTGGAAACTCATACCAGTCTTCGGCATGAATGTGGGAGGAGTTCCGTGGACAGAGCAAAAGAACCCAGAGGTGAAAGATGGCTTCCGCAATGTGATGTTTCTGTGTGTGGGAATGCTAGTTCTCGTGCTTCTATGCTTCATTTTCCCAGCTCTTTACAGTCATATCGCTGCCTGGCGGCGAAGGATGGCTTTGAAAAGAAGCTGGTCTCTCAATAGGAAATCTTTTCTCAAGCGAACTCTTCCGGTTAAAGAAAGCGGTGGTTATATTCGCCTTTGAGTTGGTAAGCCAAAGGAAGAGAGTGATGATACAATTGTGGTAATTGTGCTTTTGCCGTCTCAATTTGTTTCCAGTTGCGGAATTTATCTACACTCCTGGAGATACATGTCCTAGAGGAAACTTCTCGCCGCAAGCCTTTGATCCGTTCGTTTCCTTGATTCTTGAATGACATGCACTCTGCAGATAAACAAGTTGTCAAATGATATTGACCTTGCCTCAGAAATGGGAATTCTGGTAGAGCACACAGCTTCTTCTTTTTTTCTTTTTCCTATCTGGATAAGAGGTAGAGTTCTTCGGTGAGCCTTTTCTCTTGCCGATTCTGTTTCTTTTACAATCACGCTGTTAATGTCTGCATTTTTTTGCAATCTTTTTAACACACTGTACAGGTTGTAACATTCATCGTTCTGAATATGTATATATATTCAGAAGTTTGTACTATGATTTGATTTAAACGATAATTGTGAATGCTGCTTCTAAGTTCTATGGTTCTGACAACTTTCATTTTCTTGCCTTTTTGACGTCAGTGGCTCTCCTCCTTATCAGAATTTTGTCTCCTCTGTAACACCGTTCAGATTGCAGAAATTATGTAATATGTTCACTTTAATCCATATTGAGATCTGGGAATCAAATATGGAATCCTGTTAAGAGATTGAAATGTCTGTATAAATAAATGAAGCATCAATCTGATTCTAATATTATTTCCCAGAAAAAAAAAAAAACTATCTTCAGTAATTCCATGAATAATATCACTTCGTTTAGGGATTGTGTGATAATTGATAGCATTTGTCAACTTGTTTTTTTTTTTTTTTCAACTCTTTATTTTATTTATTTATTTATTTTATTGTTATCGTTGAAAACAATTAATGTTGCGTAAAAAAGGAATCAAAAGAAAGTACCTAATTCATCAAATTTCAGACATCATTGGCCACACAAATGTTTGGTACAAGAAATGCCAACTTTGCATTGCTATGAACCGCTAAAAAAATGGAAAAGTTCTCCTAAATTTGTAGTAGTTTGGTCAAAGATGGTATTCTTCATTCTCTTAAAAGAAAAAAGGATCATATTGTTTCAAACAATAAAATTAGTCTCAAAGTTGCGCTGCATATGGTTTTTTTTTTCAGCCACCGTTATTTATATGAATCATGCAAAACAACTTATATTTTAGTGCCAAAAAAAAAAAAAAACCCAAGTTCTGAATTAAAAAAAGTTGACCAATGAAAGTTGATACTTTAGTCTTTTTAGTTTAGAAAAACTAATTGAATTAGTCTTTATTGTTTCCAAAAATAATTATTGTTTTAAAAATTAATTGTTTAGTTTCTATATTTTTAAATTTATCTGTAACTTATTTTTTATTTTATAAAATAAATAAAAAGTTTGAAAAATTGATAAGAAAATGATATTTTAGAAATTAAAATAATATTAAATTAAACATAAACATGGACTAAAAAACTAAATGATTATTTAAAAAAAATTATTTCATTTCTGAATAATTTAAAAAGCATTTTGATACGTACATCAAGCAACCTTTTCTTTTTTCCCAAGAAAAAAAAAAACAGAGCCAGCTACTCCTTTAGAAGCGGGGACCTCCCCCTTTCCCTCACGCAGCAACGCGATCCCAAGTTTCTAAATCCCCAAACGGCAATTCCCCAAATCCTAAAACGACTTCATCGTAAAAGTTACCAATCGACATGTCGTGGAGTGTAGGTTTTGCCTCTAGAAATGGGTTAACGTGCATGTGATCCCCCAACTCTCATTCTATAACATTTTGGTCCTTAAAATATTCTTTTTCACAACTTTATTCTTTTATTCCTTATTCTGTAACTATTTGTTCCTTGCGTCAATTGTCATAAATAAATAGTTTCTAAAAAAGGGTTGAAACTCAAGATTTTTTGAAAGAAAATAGGACATTAATGGCAATTGACACACAATTTATTAACATCATAAACAAATAATTATCAAATGATATAAAGATATAAAAAAATATTAAAAATATTTTATTATGGAACAATAGTTGTATAATATGACAATAAACTAGAAAAAAAAAGAATAATCTATATAGCAAAAAATATGTCTTAACTCTTTTAAGTTAAAGAAGTGTGTCCCTAGATTTTATGGAACAATATCTTATGAAACAATGGTCATATAATATAGCACTATCATAACATTTTTTGCAATAATTTACCGATAAATCATTTTACTACCTAATAGTAAATAGAGGAAAAGAAAATGATATTGAAATATATAAATAAAAAAAGTAAGAGAACCAAAGTAGAACAATTAAAGAGTAAAGGGACCAAATGAAGCACGAGAGCATTTTGCGAATTTTGCAGCAAGTGTATGTATATCTAGAACCTTCCGTCTCTTGCTAGATAAACCTCTTTGCGAGTTGCGCCTCGTTAAAAAGCCTTGCACCCCAAAACCCTAAACCCTTCTTTATAAACCTCCAAAACTGTCTCAGCGTCCTTTTTCTTCTTTCAGCCCAAATTAATTGATAGACTGGTAGATCTCTTCTATGGCCACCGCCGCTCTCCTCCGCTCTCTACGACGCCGTGACGTTGCATCCGCACCTCTCTCAGCTTACAGATGCGTACGCTTCTAAACATTTCTGCTCTTTTTCTTCTTGAGTTTTGCTGATTTGGTTATTTGTTGAAGGAGCTCAAACCGAGATTTGAACTTGATGATTGAGAGAGAAATAAAAGATTAGATTTTTTTTATTTCTTTGTGTTTCAGTTTTTGATATGGAATTCTAGAAAGTTGGGCTCCTTAAGGGTTCGCTTGTGTTGGTTTTTTTCATTTGATTTCGTTACATAATCATGTATTGCTGTTTTTTTAAGGATATTAAAGGTTTTGATTTGTATTTGCGTTTAGTTCTGAATGATTAGCTGAGATTTGTGATATGTAAAATATGAATACGTAGTCTGTAGGCAATGATTTGACCGTCTTTATTGGTGTAGAGAAAATTGTAGATGATTGTGAAATTAGTGGTTTTCATATTAATCTATAGTTGCGGTTAGTATGATCATTAAATGCTGTTTGTAAATTGAGGTTGAGATTGTGAAATGGCTGAGTTTTGGTGTTTACCTGTTTTGCAGTTGACTAATAATGTGAAGCCATCGTGGGCTCCTTGTAATATCAGCCAAAATTTGGCTGGTTTGTCTAGAGCTTTCAGGTAGTTTATTAAGTTTTTGGTAGTTTCATTGTATTTTTGTCATTTACCAGTTTTTTTGGTATGCTGAAGTCTGTGTTTCCTCGTCTATGTAGTGCGAAACCTGCTGGCAGTGATGTTATTGGTATTGATTTGGGTACCACAAATTCATGTGTTGCGGTTATGGAAGGGAAGGTAAGAATGAATGGCATTTGTTCTCGTTTTTTATTCATTTGGTTATCAATTTTCCTTCTCCGTCTTGTTCTAATTGATGACATGATTGTATACAGAGTCCCAAAGTTATTGAAAATGCTGAAGGATCTAGGACAACCCCTTCAGTTGTTGCCTTCACCCAAAAGGGAGAGTTACTTGTGGGCACTCCAGCAAAACGTCAGGCTGTTACTAATCCAAACAATACAATCTTTGGAACCAAGCGTTTGATTGGTAGGAAGTTCGATGATCCTCAAACACAAAAGGAGATGAAAATGGTTCCATATAAGATAGTCAGGGCTCCAAATGGAGATGCATGGGTTGAAGCCAGCGGACAGCAATATTCCCCTAGCCAAATTGGGGCCTTTGTTCTGACCAAGATGAAGGAAACCGCAGAAGCATATCTTGGAAAATCAATTTCAAAAGCTGTGATCACTGTACCAGCTTATTTCAATGATGCTCAAAGACAAGCTACAAAGGATGCTGGAAGAATTGCTGGCCTTGATGTGCAGAGGATCATCAATGAACCTACTGCAGCAGCACTTTCTTATGGTATGAACAATAAGGAGGGTCTCATTGCAGTGTTTGACCTTGGAGGTGGGACATTTGATGTTTCCATCTTGGAGATTTCTAATGGCGTTTTTGAGGTATCCATTGTGTTTTGCTATTTAGGTCAAGTCTGTTTTTTATTTAGTTTTGTAAATTGAACTGACTGACTCGTCCTTTTTTAGGTCAAAGCTACAAATGGTGACACATTTTTGGGAGGAGAGGACTTTGACAACACCCTTTTAGAGTACTTGGTCAATGAATTTAAGAGAACTGAGGGAATTGATCTTTCGAAAGACAGGCTAGCTCTTCAGAGGCTCCGCGAAGCAGCGGAAAAGGCTAAGATAGAGCTCTCCTCAACCACTCAGACTGAGATCAACTTGCCGTTTATCACAGCTGATTCATCAGGTGCTAAACATTTGAATATAACACTGACCAGATCCAAATTTGAAAGCTTGGTAAATCAATTGATTGAGAGGACAAGAATCCCATGCAAGAACTGTTTGAAAGATGCTGGCATATCCACCAAGGAAGTTGATGAGGTTCTTCTCGTTGGAGGAATGACTCGTGTTCCCAAGGTTCAAGAGATAGTATCAGAGATCTTTGGAAAGAGCCCTAGCAAGGGAGTAAACCCTGATGAAGCTGTGGCTATGGGGGCTGCAATTCAGGGTGGAATTTTACGTGGAGATGTCAAAGAATTGCTTCTCCTTGATGTCACTCCCTTATCACTTGGTATTGAGACACTTGGTGGTATCTTCACCAGGTTGATCAGCAGGAACACAACAATTCCTACAAAGAAGAGTCAGGTGAGTATTTATTGCCAAATCTGTTTTCAAGTATTTATCTTCTAAATTTTTAAATGTGGGCAATAAGTTGCCATGCCTGTGCTGGTGCCCAGGCAGCCCTCTGTTTGTGATACTGTTATATTTTCTTCTGGGCTTGGTTACATATTTCTCTGATCATTCTTTCTTTGATCCCAGGTCTTCTCTACAGCAGCTGACAACCAGACCCAGGTTGGTATCAAGGTGCTACAAGGTGAGCGTGAAATGGCTTCAGACAACAAGATATTGGGAGAATTTGATCTTGTGGGCATTCCACCAGCTCCCAGGGGCCTGCCTCAAATTGAGGTGACCTTTGACATTGATGCCAATGGTATTGTCACTGTCTCTGCCAAGGACAAAGCCACTGGTAAAGAACAGCAGATCACCATTCGTTCATCTGGAGGTCTTTCAGAAGATGAGATTGAGAAGATGGTCAAGGAAGCTGAACAGTTTGCTCAGAAGGATCAAGAGAGAAAGGCCCTGATCGATATTAAAAATAGTGCTGACACCACTATATACAGCGTTGAGAAGAGCCTTAATGAGTACAGGGAAAAGATCCCTTCTGAAACTGCAAAGGAGATTGAGGATGCTGTTGCAGATTTGAGGAAGGCAGTGGCGGGAGACAATGTTGATGATATCAAATCCAAACTAGATGCCGCAAACAAAGCAGTTTCAAAAATTGGAGAGCACATGTCCAAGGGCAGCAGTGGTGGAGGTGATGGTTCTTCTGGAGGTTCTCAAGGTGGGGACCAGACTCCCGAAGCTGAATACGAGGAGGTGAAGAAGTGAGGGGTTAACTTTGGTTGCTGTCTCTTTTTACATGGCTTTGAACCATATTTGGAAGGTCTTTTTTAATTCTATTTTGCACTTAGGATGTACGTATCCTAGCGGTTCTGTATCTAAATGGTGGAGGTTAAATTGAATGTATTAGTCTTTTTGTTCATTTGAAAACTGCTTAATGGATGCCGAGGCTGAGGCTGAGGCCCTTTTTATTATATCAATAACCAAATTTCTCTGGAAGGAAATTTTGTCCCTTCATTTTAAGGAGTACTTTAATCTGCTCACTGATGTTGTCTTCTAGCCCTGTTAGAGAGAAGTAGCCAGTTCTCTCTTGTAATGGTATGATAAACAGTTGAATGTCCGCTTGCGTTCTGCATTCGTATCTAGTTTAAACAAATGGTCGTCATATTCATGATCACGATCTTCGTAGGACTTGCTTTTTGATGCATGTGTTGCTTGGTTTGTAATGCATGGAAGATTTGATTACGCGGATCCGATCTATTATTTAAAATTATCAATCAAACTATTTGCTTACGTCATAAAATAATGGATGAATTATTAATTATTTTATTTCATTAGTAAAAATGTTTACATTTTAAATGTGATGTATTAAATAAACGGTGTGGATAAATTTGATGATGTATTAAAATTGGATTGATTCAGTCCATGATATTAGATGATGAATCAAGTCCATTTATTGATTTTTCCATGCATGAAATGTTAATAGGTTAACATTTTAAGGTGGTTTATGATGGGTTGTTTTGGAAATATATATTTTTTAAAGTTAGCTTAGATTTGTTTTGTGTTGGATACACACGCGCGCGCGTATGTATGTATGTTAAATGGAAGTTTAGGGTGGGTTTTCTTTTGGAAATATATTTGTTTTTCCCTAAAATGTTGTTTTTCATTTTTTCAATGTAAAACAAACACTGAAAAATTAATTGATAGAAAAAAAAATTTTAGGCAACTTTCAAATAGTTATAATTTAGAAGAAAATATTTTAACCTATGTAATTATCATTATAATTGCTACTTTATTATAATTGCTTCTATTATCATTATCATTCTATTATGACTACCATCAATGACTCCTATCATCACAATTCATGTCAATAATTAGTGCTTATTGTTAATTTATAGGATAGAATAGAATCTATGAATTTTAATTTTTTTCATTTGAATATACCAACTTATTTAAAATTATCAATTAAATACTTTTGTTAATTTTTTCGTTAATTGATAACATGTATGGTACTCTCAAAATATAAAATTATAATTTTTTTTTCAATCGAGTACATCAATTTTTTCAAACTTGTTAATCAAGTATTTTCATCACTTTCTTCGTTAATTGATGATGTATTTAAATATGAAATTATAATTTTACTCTGTTTTTGTTAAAAAAAAATTTCCCCACAAATTATTTTACTATTTTATAGTTTGAAAAATAATTTAAAAAAATATCTCTAAAGTTTCCAACTAAACTCAATTAGGTTGTTGTTAAGGAAAAAAAAAACTCGGCTAGGTTTAAAAGTGAAAATTGAAGAAAAACACAAATGAATATTCTCAATAAAACATTTCACGTTTGTGTTTCCTTCAATTTTCACTCTCAAAACCTAGCTAATTCTTTTTTTTTTTTTTTAACATCAAACCTTACTAAGTTTAGTTTGAGATTTTATAACTAAAAATAAAATTTTTTAATTCCTTTTTAAATCTTAAATTGATAGAATAATCTAAGGAGAAAGTTCCTTATAACTTAAGATGAAAAAAAAAGTAATTTGGTATTCGGACACGTCATCAATTAATCGAGAAATTGACGAAAGTACTTGATTAATTGTTTTAAAAAAATTGATGTACTCAATCTAAAAAAAATAAAGTTCATGTGAAAAAAAGGCAAGATTGTAATTTAATATTTTGAGGATAATAGTTACGTCATCGGTTAACGAAAAAATTGATAGTTTTGAAAAAATTGATATATTCAAACAAAAAAAATTAAAATTTATATATTTGATTCAAAAAAAGATTGAAAGTTTATATACTTATACTGTAATTATCTCATTTTTTTGTTATTAATATAAGAATCGTTTTATCATTGTAACAATTATGGTGATCTTACCATTATTACTATTATAGCTACTATTATAGACCCCATCACGGTCCATAATCGCTATTACAACAATTATCATAATCACTATCACTATTATCACTCATACTATTATTTCAATTTTGCTTATTTTCTCGTATTGTTATCGGTACTCTATAGTTATTAATGAAAAATATTTATTTTTAGAAAAATGTTTTCTTTGATATATCCAAACAAGAAAAATAACTCATTTTTCACATATATATAGTTTTAAGAGAAATATTTTGCACAAAGTAAAAGCACTCTTAATTCCTATTTATATTCATAGGCTGTAGTTGCATTTTCACATGACTTGTGCTGGCTATAAAATTTCGAAGCAAATAATAATTCCTAAAGTATAGCCAAGGTGATAAAAGGAGACAAGGAGACGTTTTCATCAAATTGAAACTTAGTGATCCCGAAGGTCATTTAAATCTTAGATACCAATGATACGTTATAGTCGAATAATCGTTACATTCATAAAATTAATAATTCATATGGTACGGTATGAATATAAGTCTTGTTTATGAGATTAATATAAATCGAATTTATCTCTACGAAATAAAAAGTATAAAAGATTATATAATTTGTATATAAAAGTCCAAGAAAGAAGAAAAAAAAAATCAGACTTCAATGACCAGTGATAATGGGTCAGTAGCTATAGCGAAAATTCAGTTCTTTTAGTGTTTTTTTTTTTTTTTTCATTTAATGTGATCCTGAAACAACTCAAACTTACCATAAGCCCCAGATCTCCGTAACCTGGCCCGAGCACCTAAAGAGGGCAAAATCGCTAAAGATGATGGATAAATGAAAAAAATAAAAAAATGGGCCTGGTAAACACCAGCCACACTGTCTCCCTATATTTTGGACAGTCCACTGGACTAGGCCATCGTGAGTTTCTCATTAGCCTAACATGAGCCCGTATGATTAACGGCTTAAAAAAAAAAACGGGGATCTCCTCCTCCTCTCTTTTTGGCACTAGAAGTAGAAACTTCACGGTTCGGCGCCCAGAAATAGGAAAAAAAAAAAAACACTTCTCTCTCTGTCTCTGTGCAAGTCCTTGGATTAGATTAGATATGGCATCAGCTGGTATCTCAAAAGGCGAAATCCGTTATTTGTATCGATCTCTTCTACGCACAACTCGTCAGTTCTGCGATTACAACATCAGAGAGTACGCTAAACGACGTACCATCGACGCCTTCCGTCAAAACCAAAACCTAACCGACCCGTCGGCCATATCCGCCGCCTATTCCGATGGTAAGGCCCAGCTTGATGTCGCCAAAAGACAGGCCGTTGTTTACTCTCTCTACGCCCCAAAAATCAAAACCGTCATGGACTCTACCATTTCTCGCTGATTACTTCACTTTATTATTGATGGGGATATTATTTACCAATTTTGTAATTCGAGAAATCAATTTTGATTTTGATTCTATTGAAACGATTCTGCTGTTGTAAGACTTATGAATTTGGTTATTTTTCCTGTTGGTTGTCTGTATGCTACTAAACATAGAATTTTTATTTAGGTTAACCATGTTTTGTGATGGTTAATTAATAGGACTACCTAACTTAATTATAAAGCTTAATTTATTACTTGTGAAGTTACTAATTTCTGTTTACTTTCGACCGCACTCTGAATTTGAAGTTAATTAGAGATGTGTTAATGTTATGTGATGGTTCTTATGCTATTTGTGTCGATGAAGTAGCTGATATCTGGACTCTGGACCGGTTTCCAGTGATAAGAACAAGCTGTTAAAAGGATTTGAGGAATGAATGGATATTTGTTTTAGAATTTTAATTCAGGGTTTAATGTATGCATAGCTAGCTTCCGTTTGTAACTTCTGCTGGACCAGTCAAGGATGAAACCAAGACCCTCGGTCACTAGTTTGGATGTTTCCATTGACAAGGATGAGGCTCGTCCAATAGCTAGGGATGAATCCTATTCATATTCCTAGTACTTGTATGAATTCTGTACCGAATTTCAATGGTGAATAATATTTTGCGAACAACTAGCCATAAAAAAATTTGATGCTTACGAGGAATACGGAGCTTCCAAATATTACTCTATTTAGAATCTAAGGTTGGATAAAGATATTTTGTCAAGTAAACGCAACCTAATGTAGTCGTATACTCTCCTGATGAGGATCCCTTCCATTTTAAGCAATCTTTCATATATGTCCATCTCGTAAGAGGAATAACACTAATAATTTATTGAATTGTAGGAGGGATATCAATTCTAAGGCTGAAAAAAATCTCAATTCTCAAGCATGTTGATAAGAAATAAAGGCTGAAACGGGCAAGTCTTTCTCCTCCTCGTAGATATTTTGAACTAGAAAGTTGAAAGGAAACTCCCCCATAAAAAAATTAAAGAGATCCATTGCCAATCTTTCAAACATACCCCTCATGCAAAAGCAAAATAGCTTTTAGAACAACCCTCAATGTAGGCGAGATATTAGAAAAAGGAGAGTAGTTAATATAGATATTCTTGAAATATTTAACTCCCACAATCCTGACTCAAGGCTTTTTTTTTTTTTTTTTTTTTTTAAGTTTACTCTAAACCAGCAGAGTTTACCTAATATCATCACATTATTATCCCTTGCAGACCTTAATCTTAAGTCACCGTAATTTTTTTTACAGTCATGACATCTTCTCAACTCACTAAATGGATACCTTTGTTTTGTTCCAGAGATTCCCATAAAAAAATATAAATTTGAGTAAATTATAAACTAGTCCCTCTTGTTTCGAAAAACAAATTAATTAATCCATTTCATTTAAAACACTAATCATTTAGTCTCTATATTTTGAAATCTAATTACAATTTAGTTCTTTTTGCTCATTTTTAATTTATTTTAAGAAATAGAAAAAGAAAAAAATATGAAAGATTGATGAAAAAATAAAAGATTTATAGAATACAAATAATATTAAATTAAATATGATTAATAATGATTAAAAAATTAGATAATGGTTTTTGAAAAGAAAGAGACTAATTAATTTGTTTATTAAAAATAAAGAAAATAATATATAACTTCTATAAATTTTGTCAATATCATTGCGAACGCTAGATGAAATAAAAAATGACTGCATTGTGTAAAGAGATATGGACAAGATGGTGGATTGAATTAAGGTTGCCGTACCTGATTGGTTCAATAATTTCCACTTTCATCCAACAAATCTATTATGAATTTTATCCAGTGTTTGACCAAAATCAGCTTTAGAATTGTGAATCATTAAAGGGACTCTCAACTAACCCCATAGATTATTGGTAAAAGGGATACCAAAACGACATTTTAGGATATCTCTGTCTTTTAAGAGCATCAAGTGAAATGAAAACTTTGAATTTCTGATCATGACTCACCAACAAGTGAAAGGTTAGTTCTGAATTTTTATTCACCAACATTCCAAAGCAGTTATAAAAGTCAATTAACGTAGATCAACGACTCTACATTGATAACCGATACTCTTGAAAAAAAAAAATTCACCCACAAAGAGAAAGGACCAAAAATAAAGGTACACCCATGGAAGCTGTAAAAATCACCTACCAGTTGATGCAAGTTACCTACACCCACGCAATGTTAAAAATGAAAAAAAAAAAAAAAAAAAGGCCTAATAAATCATTCCTATTTATTAGATGGGCCGCTAACGTCGGCCTTTGTAAGTTTTCTCAATGGGCTTTTCACAACTTTTCTGTAAACGGGAGCCCGTGATATAACGGTTAATAAATAAACGGTGACCTCCGTCTCTCTCTCTTTTAAACACTAGTAAAGAAGACTGTGGTTAATCAACTAGGGTTTTTGATTGCCGCTTATACCCTACCCCACGTAGTAGAAGAAGAAGAAGGCTCTCTTTACTCTGTAGGTAACCCTCGCGCAACCTCTCTCAATGTACCTTTATTCGGGTTTCTTTCTATTCATTCCTTTTCCCTCTCTAACAGAAGCTTAATTAACCTCGAAACTCCAGTTTATACCGAATCGTTGCTACACGTTTGCTCGTTAAAGAACTAAAATTTCTACTCTTTTTGTAATCTTAAGTTCGATATTTTTCTTTTTTTCAATTTTTTTAATGCAATTTTGTGGTTTTTGCTGGTGCTTGAGTTTCAGTCTCACTACTTGTTCTAATTTTGAAGTTGACTTTTTCTGGGTTTTACTTATTTTTTGCTTTGGTGTATTGAATATGCAGTTTTAGCAAGAGAACTGATATTTTTTAGCTTAAATGGGAAGCAAGAAAAGAAGCTCCAATACAGTAGAGGAAGTTGAGGATTTAGATGATAAAAACACAAATACTGAGAATGCAAACATAGAGCATACGAATGATGAGAATGCAAACATAGAGCATACGAATGATGAGAATGCAAGTGCAAATCCAAGTAGAAAGAAAATGAAGAAAGATAAGAATAAGGAGACCGAAACCCTGGATGGGGATGCTTCTAAAGCAGACCTTTCTAATATTCCTAGTTCAATGAAACCCATGGAAAGACGGAAGAAAAGGAAAGCATTGGATAAAGAGAAGCAACATGCTGCCTCAGAGAATAAGGAAGTGAAGACTACAAAAAAGGATGTTGATCCGAAGGTTAGCGAAAATGAAAAGCAGATGGGAGCTTCGTCCAGTGGGGAGTTACCAAAGTTTCATATTGGTGTCTTTAAGGATCTGGCATCAGCAGATGTATCTGTGAGAGAAGCTGCAGTCGAGGGATTGGTCACGGAGTTGCAAGAGGTTCAGAAGGCATATGAAGTTACGGAGAATAAGGAGTTGGTTGAAGGTGGGTTGACACTGGAAGCGGAGAAGGATGATGGGTTAAATGATTGTGCACCTTCTGTGAGGTATGCCGTGCGTAGGCTAGTTCGTGGTGCTTCTTCATCAAGGGAGGTATGATTGGTTAAATTGCGTGCTGTAGTCTTGTTTCTTCTTTGTGAAAGCTATGTATCACGTACTAACTCACACCTTTTGAACCAAGGTTATGGTTCTCTGTATATTCTGTGAGGGAACGGAAATTTGATTCATAATATCCAACTGTAAATTTTATATGTTGTTTTTGAAGATCAATCCCGTTTGGGGGAAATATTTGTTAGAGTTGAATTAACTTTTAGAATGGTCTTTTGATGGAAAATGGTACATTAGTTTAGTTTGATTATCACCTTTGTGCTGTGTAAATAGTTGCATAATCATGTCCGATGCCTGCTGGGTTTTCATGAATGATTCCGTTAAACATGCATTCTTGGCATATCTGTTGCATTGGCTTATGAGGTACCTGTTCATCTCATTTTTAATACTTGCTTTATACTTATGACTGCACCTATCATCTGATTCTTGTTTCTCGTGGCATTATATCCTACAGGTTATTATGTGAAAACTCTTTGTTGGGGCATTTAGATCACACTTAAGCTGGATGAGATTGTTAAACTTGACAACATTTACTGCAAACTGAACATGGTCAAATGGCCACCTTTTCAAGCATTGGATAATTTCTTCTGTAGACTGTAGTGTCTATTGTATGGGTATAAACTTGGGTTATCTATAATGTAAGGTTGTTGACTAACTTGTGTGTATCATATAATCTGGTTTCTCTTTTGCAGTGTGCAAGGCAAGGATTTGCATTGGGCTTGACAGTGTTAGTTGGTACAGTTCCTAGCATCAAAGTGGATTCAGTGCTGAAACTAATAGTTGATTTGTTAGAAGTTTCTTCATCAATGAAGGGTCAGGTGGGTGATGATTGGCCTGTTGTATTCGGTTGCTATCTTCTCTGCATAAAATTCCTGAAGTTGCTTCTTTGTGGCACTGCAGGATATAAGGGATTGCCTTTTAGGTCGGCTATTTGCTTATGGTGCTCTTGCGCGATCAGGAAGACTGACTGAAGAGTGGACTTCTGATCATAATACCTGCTTGATTAAAGAATTCACCAATGTGGTTCTCTCTCTTGCAGCAAAAAAACGATATTTGCAAGAGCCTGCTGCTGCAATTATTTTAGAATTGGTTGAAAAGGTATCTTACTCTTAACAACATATGAAGAAAATAGATTTTATCAGACGTCTGCATCCTTTTCTATTTTTCTTGGGGCTTTTCAGTCTTTTTCTTTCCCCTTTTTTTTTGGGGGGGGGGGGGGTGTTCTTTTGCTTCAGATTTGCTATTTTTTACTTGTATTTACATGAATTGAATGCCCATTTGGGATGCATGTCTTGCAATCCCTTCATTGTATCTTTATCCCTTCACTGCTATGTCTTGTGTTTGCAGTTGCCAATTGAGGCTGTGTTGAATCACATACTTGAAGCTTCAAGGCTGCGTGAGTGGTTCGAAGGTGGTGCTGATGCTGGAAATCCTGATGCTTTGCTTTTAGCTTTGAAAATTCGGCAGAAAATTTCCGTTGATAGTGAAATGTTTGGAAAGATTTTGCCACATCCGTTCAGCCCTAGTAGACTTTTTGTGTCTGATCATTTGTCCTCTATCATTAACTGTTTGAAGGTGATTCTTTAATTAGTTGTATATGGAGAGTGATATGCAGGGTTGTTAAAGGTTTTATATTTACTCATGATATTATTGTTTGTGGAACATGGCAGGAATCGACATTCTGTCAGCCTAGAATTCACAGTGTGTGGCCTGTTCTGGTAAATATTCTTTTACCTGATATTGTTATGCAAGCTGAAGATGTGGTGTCAGCTTCTAATTCTCTAAAAAAGCACAAAAAAAGTCGCAAGTCTAGCTCATCTGAAGAAGAAATTGCCAAGACCATTCAGTGTTTCTGTGAAGTTGTTATTGAAGGGTCCCTTCTTCTTTCTTCTCATGATCGCAAGCACTTGGCATTTGATATTCTGCTTCTCCTCCTCCCAAGGCTCCCCGCATCTTTCATTCAATATGCTCTCTCGCACAAAATTGTGCAATGTCTGGTGGATATACTTTCGACAAAGGACTCTTGGCTGTATAAAGTTGCTCAGCATTTTCTTAAGGAATTATCAGATTGGGTTGGAAATGATGATGTCAGAAGGGTTGCTGCTATAGTGGCTTTACAGAAAAATAGCAATTCAAGATTTGATAGCATTACAAAAACAAAAACAGTTAAAGCTTTGGTGACAGAATTTAAAACAGAATCTGGTTGCATGTTGTTTATTCAGAGTTTAATGAACATGTTTGTGGATGAAGGTAATGTTTCAGAGGAACCCTCAGACCAGAGTCAGACTACTGATGACAATTCAGAGATGGGTTCAATAGAGGATAAGGATTCAAATGGTGCAATGGCAAATTCTGATTTCTTGAAGACTTGGGTGGTGGAATCGCTTCCGAGTATTTTGAAACATTTGAAGCTGGAGCCTGAAGCAAAGTTTCGGGTGCAGAAGGAAATTTTGAAGTTTCTAGCTGTGCAAGGTCTGTTTTCTGCATCTCTTGGCTCTGAAGTGACATCTTTTGAATTACAGGAGAAATTTAAGTGGCCAAAGGCAGCCGCCTCAAGTGCTATTTGCAGAATGTGCATTGAGCAGATCCAATCACTGCTGGCAAATGCTCAAAAGATAGAGGGGCTCCATTCTTTGGCAAGTGGCCTGGAGCACAGTGATCTTGGGTCTTACTTCATGCGTTTTCTCGGTACATTACGAAACATTCCTTCGGTTTCCCTTTTTCGATCTTTGAGTGATGAAGATGAAAAGGCTTTTGAAAAATTGCAAGAAATGGAAACTAGGCTTTCTAGAGAGGTAAACTGTCTTCCTTACTTTCAGCAACTCTAATTAGTCTTACATTTGAATATGTACATCGAATTGGTTCTGATTCACAGTTGGGATGCATGCTGAATCCTCAAATTGCAGATTGTGATGTATACATTGAGTAAACTTTAAAATTGAATGACTGGAGGGCTTACCTTCGGACGTGATTCAGAATGTTTTTACCTGTAGTTTTTTCAACATGGGCTTTGCCTTATGTAGGACTGCTCCTTAGTGAGTCCACCCATAACTGCTTTCCCTTGCATTATTATGGATTATTCGATAAATAATATCTTTGTTCTTGAGTCTCAAATGCTAGCAATTCATATTTACTTCTGTTCTCAAACATCCCAACTGTCCCTTAATCAGCTTTTTAATCTTGTGCAAGGATGTCCAGCTTTTAAAAATTTTTAACAATGCAGGAAAAAAATTGTGTGATCGGTGCTGAAGCAAATAAGTTGCATGCAATGAGGTACCTGCTGACCCAGTTGCTGCTTCAAGTACTCCTTCGACCTGGAGAATTCTCAGAAGCTGCATCTGAACTCGTTATATGTTGTAAGAAAGCTTTTGCAGCTTCTGACCTTCTTGATTCCTCAGGAGAAGAGGAGTTGGACAACAATGCAGATCCGAAGTTAATGGACGTCCTTGTGGATACATTCCTTTCATTGTTACCACAATCATCAACTTCCATGCGCTCTGCTATTGAGCAGGTGTGTGCAGTAATGGAATGTTTATTTTGCTTTTGTATTTGAGCATTTATGTTACATATCTATATGTCTTCAACCTTAATTTGGCTTTACAATGCACCTTCTATAATTAAAGTTATGTATTACTTGATGATAGGTTGAGTCTTGAGTAATCAAATGTGGTTTCTAAATTTTAATGCATTGTTTCTTTGCAATTGTTTTTGATAATTTCGGCATTTCAACTTGCTACTGAAATGATTCAGATGGCCAACTACACATATTGAATAGCTGAACTGTTAGTCAAGTATGAGCTTTCTACAATCATTGTGCATGACATGCATAATATTTTTCACAACTAATATCGGGAGGAATTCACTGGGGTTGCTAATAATGGCTCTTCTATACAAGAATTCCCACCATCAACATGATATTAACTCTGGCAACAATTTATGTTTTTAGGTTTTTAAGTACTTCTGTAATGATGTGACGAACGATGGACTTCTTCGGATGCTGCGTGTCATTAAGAAAGATTTGAAGCCACCTAGACATCGAGAAGAAGGTAGTGAAGATGATGGTGATGATGATGAAGATTTTCTTGGTATTGAAGAGGAAGAAGAAGAAATGGATGAAGCCGAGACAGGTGAAACAGGTGAGGATGAAGAACAGACTGATAATTCTGAGGCAGTGGTTGAAGTTGAAGAAGCTGGCAAAGAGCTGCCTGATGATTCTGATGATTCTGATGGAGGAATGGATGATGATGCGATGTTCCGGATGGATGCTTATCTTGCCCAAATTTTCAAAGATAGAAAGAATCAGTCTGGGGGTGAAACTGCGCAATCCCAGCTTGTTCTGTTCAAACTTCGTGTCCTTTCATTGCTGGAGGTTTACCTACATGAAAATCCTGGCAAGTATTTGTTGCTTGTGTTTAATTAGCTGGGATATGCGAATTAGTCTGCTGTTTGTTTTAGCGTAATTCATAAATTCCTAATAATGCTCTCGTGGCTGAATTCAGCAGTTTCTTCGGATCAATGAGAATGGAGTGATTCAGATATATATAGCATTAGTTGTGTTAATGACTTATCAAAACTGTAAATGATGTTTCTTGTCAGGAACTGGGGTTTGGCAAGCTGCTTCTGTGGCTGTGTCAGCAGAATCTCCAGTCTCAGTTGCAAGAACTATTTATTTCTACATTATGTTTCAATTTTAGAAAGTCTGTTTTTCGTTATTTTCTCTTGAAAGCCTTTTATTAAAAAACTGTATCCTAAATTGTGCTTTCGTCTTCTCTTCATCCTACAGCTGAGCCTGAGGTTCTGATGGTGTACTCAAACTTGGCTCGGGCATTCATTAATCCTCAAACCGTAGAAATCAGCGAGCAGCTTGGACAGCGAATATGGGGAATTTTGCAAAAGAAAATATTCAAAGCGAAGGACTTCCCAAGGGGTGATACTGTGCAACTATCTACTCTTGAATCTTTGTTGGAAAAGAACTTAAAGTTGGCATCAAAGTCATTAAAGAGAAAGAAATCTGCTGGTAGCTTATCCAAGAAAAAACAGTTGTCCATGTTGAAGCGACATAAAATGATTGTTTCCCTTGCTCAGGATTCAACTTTTTGGATTCTGAAAATTATTGATGCCAGAAATTTTTCAGAGTCTGAACTACAGGGGGTTATTGATATATTCAAGGGTGAACTGGCACGGTATTTTGAGAGTAAAACATCTCAAATAAAATCTGAATTTTTGAGAGAAATATTTCGAAGAAGGCCATGGATTGGGCATCATCTCTTTGATTTCCTTTTGGAGAAATGTGGCAGTGCAAAGTCGGAGTTTCGTCGAGTTGAAGCACTCGATCTAGTAATAGAAATATTGAAGTCAGTGGTTTCTTCTGGGACTGATGAAAGGAAGCGAAATGCATCAAAGAAAATCTTGAAAAATCACCTGCAAAAACTCAGTCATCTGATAAAGGAGTTGGCAACAAATATGCCAGAAAAGCAGGCAAGGCGGGCTGAAGTACGCAAGTTTTGTGGTAAGGTCTTTCGTTATGTGTCAACCCATGACCTGACCAAATCTTTTCTCAAGCATCTGGCCCCAGAAGCGGAAGCTGCTTGTGAATCTCACCTTGGAGAGCTGTATCTCAATTTCAAGAATGTAGAAAGATAACTACAACAGCTGATACTGCTGAAGCCCTCGATAGTGTATCGTGCGCGGGAAAAACTTCTTTCAGCTCCCATTCTATCTGAACTTTGGCGAATTTGTTTTATGATGGTTGCTTGGTGTTCAGCTACATAACCCAGCAAGCTCTATGTTTTCTTAGTTATCTATTGGTATGACTCTTTAAAGCTTTCGTTAGCTGCCATTTCTAGAGTTTCTCTTTAAATAAAAACTAAAGTATTAATTTGTTTTCGTATAGGAAAATTTTAATCATAGTCAAAAGAAGCTTAGAACCTACTTGTTTCACTTAATGATCAGCTTGTCTATTGAAAGGGTGAACATCCTTTGCCATTTTTGTCCAAACACAAACTTGCTATCTAATCATCATTTAAGTTTATTTACTATGTTTGCAATGGGAAATTACTAAAATTTTGCTTTATGATGTTTCAATTTTGTCGATGGGGTGTTTATGTTCTCATGGCTTTTGGATATTAAAAAAAAATAAAAAAATTTTGACATGTTTGTCAAATAACAAGAAGTTTCTAGAATATAGTAAGCACAGGGAGACAAAAAGGCTCTCGTTGTTCGTACATGAATTGACCTCTACCCAAGTTATTTCTGGCTCACGGCCAAAGGTTTGCCGGCGGAGTAGTAATAATCACCAGTCATTCCTCAAATTAATAGTTAGTAATTTCAAGAAAAGAAATGCACTGGTTTCTTTATTACTCCACCAAGGATTCTTGAATGTGAACTGATGTAGTTTGTGCTCATCACAACATAACATGTTCACTCCAACCACAGTTAGTAATGAATCACTGGCGCTGAGTTGTCAGGGTCCCACGTAAAATGAATCCTATCAAGTGTGTTAGATGATTTTCTGCATTTAATTTACCAAGCTGGAGATGGTTAATGCTGGTTGCAAAAAAATCACCGTCCATGGGGCCTTGACAAAATCAATCACCATGGTTTTGTTAAGGGAAATTGGCTTTGTCAAGGGGCTTATCCTTTCCTGCATGCAGGGTTGCAGCATGACATGATTGAAAACAGCCTTTTGAGTTTTGAGATTATCACTGTGTTAGTGAGGTCATTTTCAAACTAGGTTTTACTAAGAAATATCTTGAGAGGGATGGTGGCTTACGTAATCTGGAAAGCAACGCACCAGTGGCATTCATAGAAACTTCCCCAAGTATGCTGGCAAGTTATTAGCAGGTAGCTTCATTTATTAAAAAGATATTACGACTTTCTTATCAGTGAACTAGTACTACATGGATTAATTAATTAACTAATCCTGTCATCAGTAACATTGCTTACTTCAATTTCAAGGCTCAAGCATTTTATAGAGGCTAGTGTGAGAATCTCAATTCCATAGGATTTGGTCGAGTCTTGCCTAATAATAGATGACTGAAATGGACTGTAGCAAGTGGATTGCTAATTTGGTTATTATATACAATGGCGTTGCTTTCGTGGAAACTCAATTTATCTACCAATTTGACCGATTCAAATCCATCTCCCTACCATTTAGGTCTCTATATCGTACCCAGTCAAACCGTTTTAAAGCTCCAGTTTCTTCTAACATCCGTGGAGCCTGTCTCTAGGTAGCGATCTAGGTTTTCAGCTGATGGGGAAATAGTGACCATATGTCGAAGAATCTCCAACGTTACTCAATTTACAATTAATTCCATTCCTTGCTTAAATATGATTAGGGTCCCTCATGTTAGCCATTAGAAAAAACAGAAAAAGAAGATTACTATCTCCGTCTAACAGAGAAGCCTGAAAGGCCATCAACTTCTTAAATATCTTAAAATGACCTGGAGATGGAGGGGCTTTGTATGGCCTGTTTAATGGGCACCGCTAATTAACAAATGCACTTTGTCACGTTCGAACGCCAACATTGGACAATTTTTTCCAGATGAAAAGCACATGGCCCGATCAAACTTTTTCCATGAAGCGGCATAATAATTAATTAAAGCCCCGCGCGCTTGGCTGACACGTTTTCCCCCATCCAACCAATTCACATCTGGCTTTCACATGTTCATCTCCCTCTCTATATTTTCTATCGTATACAGTCCCACACGCCCAAATGGTCTATTCAGCAAATATCTACACAGAGGTGGAGGTGGTATATTGCTTGGATGCTTTGCTTCTAATCTTTTCAACCAAGGAAAGAATTTACTACTCACTTTCTAGGATCCCTAGTGCAATAATACTCACTCAATTTTGGAGCAGTTTATGTACTTATTTGCAATCATTCACCAAATGGTAGAGATCCCTTCTGCTTGCATGCGCAATTTGCTTGATAATAATAATATCTTGGTATACGAGCAGGCAGGCACTTATTCATTGTTCATATGTTGATCGATGAAAAGTCCCGAGAGAGCTTTTACTGATTGCTAAAAATCATGTATTAAGTGTTGTAATGTGTACAAGGGTGATTCAACCATCTCTCTAAGAATCTAACCATCTATTCTACTTTTTCACCACTTTTCCTACCCTCCCTAACCTACATCTTGATTTCTACTATTTTCTTGATCTTTTTACACAAAAGCAACAAACGCTTACAGTCCCCAGCCAATGCAGAGCCACTTCCAATTCCATCAAAATTTACCTCCCAGGAAGCAACCCAACACGACAACGCAATTGCAAACCCTTCCCTGTACAAAAGAAACAGTTCATAGAACTTCATCAGTCCACTGATGAAATGAAAGATCAGACTTTCAACAACAAGCGAATTGCTATATACCTCATCCTCAACCCATTTGAAAAAACCTCAAAGACCCTCTCCAGAAAAGCCTTAAAAGCAATCCAGCATTCATTCAACTCAAAAAAGATCTCATCATGAATGTGCATCCTCTGAATCACTCCCTGAAGAACTCCCTGAATCAGAATCTGCAATTAACACCACATTAGCATTTCTGCAACGAAATAAACTGTGTGAAGTTAGGCTCCACAAAGTCAGAATTGGGTTATACCACTCGAAGACGAAGAATCGTCACTGGAACTACTGGAGCTACTAGAACTGCTACTCGCATGTCCGTTATCTTTCTCAATCTCCACTGGTGGAAAACTACTCATTGGCATCTCATCACCAATGTCTACATCTTCATCTCCAGCATCCCCTTTCTTTGGCTTTTTCGCCTCGTTTACCACCTCCATTCTATCATTCCCGGCTACATCCTACACAATTAAACAGCCATTAACAAACCATTCACACACTACAAATACGAAACTGCAAAGCAATGAGAATAATGCCGTATTAGAGAACTTAGACAATTCATATACCTTATTATTGCCTTCACCGGTTGCAGCAGCACCCACATTGTTGTTAATACCCATCAAAGCTTGCCGCTTAATCTTGCTAACCATTTTCTTGTAATTAGTCACAAACCGATCCAACTCCCACAGAGTCTCTGTATCAACAGCCTCAATATCAAGCTCAATCTCATCACCCTCTTGCCTTAAATGCCCATTCCTCTTCCTAATAATCTGCACAACTTGCTCCATTTTCTCTTGTGGCAAACTCTGCAACCCAACACCCAGCTTATGCTTCTCTTCGAGACTCATCTCTCTTTTATTTGGATCCTTTGCTTTAGGCTTTGGTTGCTTCAATGGCTTCACTTGTTGAATCCTCATAGGTGATGGCGTCCTCACTGAATTAGGGTTCTGATTCAACCCCTGATGTTGCTGCTGCAGCATTGGATGCCCAATTGGATCAGATTTCTCTGTAACTTGCATAAAATCATCATCAACTTTATTAACCCTCTCTGGTTCTCTTCTAATATGATCCCAAGAACTGGCTTGTACTTCTTGAACTTGATCATTCTCCTCCTCATCAACATCCTCACCCACCTTCTCCTTAATTGGCCTAAACAAATCCTCAAACCTTGTTAAAAACTGCTCAGCAAGAATATAAACTTCATGACCCTTAGGGTTATACTTCATAGCATTATTAAATGTCAATCTAACATCAGCAGCGAAATCTCTTGGCGATTCATATAAATTCTTGCTCAATTTTGACTTCACCGTACCCAAATCCATTGGATTCTTGACTATATCATAATAATCATGCAATTGCAGACCCACAACATCAACTGGAGTATTAAAGATATACCCTAATTTGTGCTTCATCAATTTCGACAAAATTTGACTGCAAGTCTTCATCAATTGCGCATTCTCTGGATTTGATCGCTTCAAATTGTTAAAATTTGAAGGAGCTGGAAACGGCCGCTTGTTTCCTGATACTTTCTTGTTTGCAGAGGTTTGTTTTTTGTTGCTGAAATTGGAGCTGGGTTGACGGATCTGGAAATCAGAGGATTCGATTCTGTTCTTCAACTCTCGGATCTTTTCAAGCTCGTAAACTAATCGATTTTTAAGCTCGATTAGTTCTTTCTTTGAATACGAGCTAACATTGAACGATACGTATCCTCCGGTGTTGAAATCTTGGTGATTGTTCTGTGGACGGCGGTTGATAGACGACGCGTCATCTGATGCGGCTGAAGGTGACTCGTCAACGTCGAGGATTTGTGGTGGTTGAGGTGGTTGAAATTGGCGTTTTTTGGAGAATTTAGGGTTATGGTTAGGGTTAGAGAAAGGGATTTTGCCCATGAATTTAGCTCCACCACTACGTGGCTGTGGCTGCGTCCAATTCGGTTCGTTCCGGTTCACTAACACAGCTGACGCCATGAATCCGGTACGATTCCGGTAGATATCCGGCAAGAAATTAACATGAATCAAGTGGGGCGTGAAAAACACGCGTTGCCGGAATTTTGACCTCCACGCGCTCGAAAAATATAATTGGAAACTGGAAACAAAAATCGAATAAATGTTAAGAGTTAGGGTTTGTGAAGGATTGATTTAGAGCGAGGAAGATAGGAGGCGAGGCTGGGTTCTTAAAGGCAATGAGATCTGCCCGAAGGTGTTACGGGCAAGATCTGGACCATTGACTACTGTTTTGTTTCTTGATCTGATGCCCGTGTAACTGACCTACTGACCTGGCATAAACGGTGAGGATTTGATGTTGGGGACACGTGGGGGTTTTTAACAACGTCGGATTGTGATCGTGATTTGGGGTGAATTTGGGTTGAATTTGTCGTGAATTTAGGGTTTTTCTAGGTGTGGGGCCCAGTGAAGTGATGACATGGAGGGAAGCCAACTGGGTGGTCCGGCGTAAGTGAGAAGTTAACGCGCATGTGATAATACCGTTTGTATGTCGGGGTATTTGGGTAATTTGGGTTTGCAGATGAGGGAAGAATGATTGGAGTAGCTGGAGTGAGGTTTTTGTTTGAGTAAATTATAAATTAGTTCATCTGGTTTTGAGAAATAAATTAACTAGCCTCTCTAGTTTTAAAATTAATTATTTAATTTTTTTAATTAGTATTGATTACTACTAATTTAATTTTTTTATTTTATAAAATTTCTGCTTTCTAATCAATATTTAAATCTTTTTATTTATTATTTCTTAAAATAAAAAATCAAAATAAATTAAAAAATAATAAAATTGACTAAATAATTAATTTTTAAAAACTAGAAGGACTAATTAATTTATTTTTCGAAATTAAAGGAACTAATTTATAATTTACTCGTTTTTGCTTGCGTAAATTTTAATTTTGCTGCAGATGAGGTTCAAGGGGTTTCTTAATTTTTCTCTTGAGATTTTATGTATCAATTATTTTCATGATCTTTCATCTAAGTTTTAATTTCTATATTTTATTTATTAAATTAACATAAATAATGATGTGATATTTTTTATATTTCAATTAACTTTCTAAACTAAAATAAAAAATCTTAATCAAGCATGCATTTCTCAATCACATTAATTATCTTGTTTTTGCTATCAAAGTTGTTTTTTTTTTTTATCTCATTTTTTTCAAATTTATGAACTCCTATCAAATTAAAAAATATTGATAAAATTATACAAACTCTAACTATAAATTTTATATATTTTAATGAAATCATAGGATCTAATACCAAGTTAGCATAACTTTTTGATAAAAAAAAATTAACATACTCTGGTATCATCTCTTTGTATTCTTGTTTTCAAAAAACATGTGTCAATTATGTAAAACATAATATTTAATATAATAAAATTAATAATACTGATACACTATATAAATCCAAATCAATTGATCCTTCAAATCATATTAAAATTCATAAACTCAAATTAATAACTAGTAATGTGATATTTCAATTACTATTTTTTATATCTTTTTTTACAAGATGAATTTTAATATAATTGAAAAATAAATATTTGATTAGGACTTTTAAAATATTTCAAAAAGTCAATTGAAACATAAAAAATATCATATTGTTATTTATGTTAGTTTAGTAAATAAAAAGAAAGAATTGAAACTTCAATGAAAGTTTAAGGGGATAAATGATACAGAATAAATCTTAATAAAAAAATTGAGAAACCCCTCAAACTTCATATTGTACAAATTAAAATTTATCCTTTTTGTTTTAATATTACAAAATCACCCTTTTCCATGCAAATATCAAAAGTAAGATTTTTTTTTAAAAAAAATATATCAAATTTCTGTTTTCATAAGTAATCATTGATAAGTGCATTAGCACAAGAAATAAGAAAATGGTGCTGCTAAATTTACCATTAAATTTTTTATTTTCGCCATTTATTTTTAAAAAAATTACTAATGCACTCTCTTCGTTAATGTTTGTTGCTATGTTACTAGTAAATATATTTTATATCAAACACATAAAATATCCTAAAATTAAATGTACATAAAAGCAAAAAAAAAAAAAATGAAACAAACATTGACGAGCATTTTAAATATTTGATATAAAACATACTTAATTATGGTATAATAACAAAAATTAATGAAATAATGTGTTCGTAATTTTTTTTAAGGCAAGAAGAATAAATCTGATGATAGATTTAACACTACCAATATAAAAAGTCATCATTTCTTTAAAGTGTCATTTAGTTACCAAAAATAAAAATCCAAAATAGGAATACAAAAATCGAAATGATATTTGTATTTTTATATTGTGTTTGAAATAGTAATAAGAATTCAAAATGAAATTTAACTTTTTTAATACCTGATTTTTAATATAATCAAAATAATGATTAAAAATAATTTCATCAACTATAATTGTAGTAAAAATAATAAAAGCGATGATGGTGCTTATAGAGTAGAAAGAGGATAAGGAGAAAATAGTAGTAATAAGGTATAACGATAATAATAATATATTTTTTTAAAAAAACTGATACCATTAACATAAGAAGTGACAATATAAGAAAAAAAATAGTAGAGGTATAATAAAAATGATGGTTCCGACGAAGAAGAGCGATGATAGAATAATGATAATAATGATTTTTTTATCACCATCGTCAATAGTAGTGATGATGATGGTATAATAAAAATGATCATGATGGTTAATGAGGTGGTGACAATATAATAACAATAATAGTTTTTTAAATTTTTTTTTTATAACAATCGCTAATGGAGGTGGTGGTGATGATTGATACACAATAAATAAAAATAATATATCATCATTTTATTAAAAATTTATTTTCTTTCCTTATTCTTATTCCTCTTTCCACGTGAGAATGAAATGTTTGATTTTAATTCTCATTTTCACTTTTCATTCATGTTTTTATCTCATTTTTTTATATCAAACAATTAAAAAGCAAACATAAATTTTTTATTTTTGTTCTCCTAACTTCATTTTTAGTAATCAAAACAACTCCTAAGTGGATAATAACATAGTAGTAGTTAAGGTAATAAGAATCTCATAATATCCAAGATGGTCCAATTGTCTTTTGGAGGGAAAGTGAATTTTTTGAACTCCCTCTCCTTTGTGATTTCATTTGTTTTGGAAGGAACTTAGGAAGTTTCTATTTACTACCTCATCTTTCATAGAGAATCTTATTTCTCTTTTATGACTGTTCTAAGATAAATATTCTTTGAGTAAAAGTCAATCAAACCCCTCGTCAATGCCAATGTTTCTACCATAATCAATTTTAGCTTTTTTTCTTTTCTTTTCTTTTTTTTTTTAAACGAAAGGATAATCTTGGAAGTTTCCTACAAAATAAGTGACATGCCTATACATTTATTGTATTTTTTTAATTCATGTGTAAATGGCCAACGAAACTCTTTTCACAGGACGAAAGAATTATTTTACATTATAATCCATCGCAAATTCACATTGGTCCTTATAGCTCTTGATGTATATTTCACAAAGTAATTAATACAATTATGATTTATTTTTTACTGGCTTAATATACTAAAAAATAATGAATTTTATATTTTTTAATTATATTAATATTTTTTTTAATATTTGATAAAAAAACATAAATTAAACTTTTGATAACTATATTAACATTGATAAATTTTTTCGATTTAAATTTCGTTTTAAATTCACATGGTGTGTGAGAGAGTGTGACAACATAGCATAATTATCATGTAGGATTACACGTCGCCTATATGAGAAATTAAATTACCCAACTAGTACACGTCGCCTATATGAGAAATTAAATTACCCAACTAGTGAACTACATGCGATCAATTCCCTTCCAAACTCAATTAAAAAAATCCCCAAACTTTCCCTATTGTCATTGCAAAATTCCTAACCTTCCTTCTTCTCTTCCTTGTCCTCCTCAGCTGTCAAGCCGAGTCGAAACCAATTAATCCCACCATCTTTCTCATCCAAAACTCGTCGTTGCAGCTCTCCCTCACATAGTCAAAACATAGCTGTCCAGTGTCATCTTCCCCACTCCTACAAACAGCACTGCTGTCCCTCGCTACAACCCCGTCGTAATCACTGCTACTGCCATCAAAATCTCACCAAAACCTTGCCAAAACCCAGCTTCACTTACCACCACTCTCCCCTGCTATTGAATCCTCTCACCCGAAAACACTGATCCACTGCTCTCCAGCCACCACTATTACAAAACCCATAATGCCATCATTGCCATTGCTGTCGACTCCTTTCTGCCACCTCTCTTCATATCGATCCATTCTCTTAGCCACCCAACAACCATTAAGAATTCCTTTACTAGCCACTACAACCATCACTCATAAAAAAAAATTAATAACTGTCGTCGGCTCTCTTTTTATTATGCAAGATTTAATTTTTAAATTACTTGGAAATTAAAATATGCTAAACGACTTAAATTTATATGATAGGTTGGAAAATGTATTCTTATTCCTCAAAAAATAAGAGTTAAGGTAATAAGTAAATCGATATTTCGATAGAAACTTTTCTCTTTTCAATTGAGATTGGGTTGAGTGGCTGAAGGTTTTTGAGTTCGGAGACGAGGGAAAAAAAAAAAAAAAAAGATTAGGGATTTTTCAATGAGAATAAGCAAGGATTAGAGATTTTTTTTTTCCTTTGTAATTGAGTTTAGGAGGGAATAAATGACATGTAGTTCAATGATTGAGTATTTAATTTTCAAATATGTCACATGGAATCATACGTGGTAATATTATGTTATGTTGTTATATTCTCTCACATGCCATGTCAGTTAATATAGAATTTAAGTTGAAAAAATTCACTTGTACTACTATAGTTATTAGAAGTTTAATTCATATTTTTTTATTTAATATTAAAAGAATGTGTTAATATGATTAAAAAATATAAAGTTCATGATTTTTTAGTATATATATATATATATATATATATATATATATATTTTTTTTTTTTCGTATAAATATTTTTAGATTTTACTAAAGTTCCTCTCGAGGGACTAAAACAAGTCTTTCAAATCACCATATATTTTTTTTATTTTTTTGTATGCAGGCTTTTAAGTTTCAACCTAATTTTGGTGTTTGGAAACCAGACAAAGAATAACGCAAGTAACATAAACATGTACGCTGCAAAAGGTAAATGTCATTAGAAAAGGAAAGGAAAAAAAAGAAGAGCTGATGATGAAGTATTCATTGAATTGATGACGTTTAATTATGAAGTTGAAAAACATAATCTTACATCATTACTTCAAGTGCTGGGCATATGACATGATGTTAATTTGATGTGAAAATTTTATCCCTAATCACTTTTGAAAAAAATTCAACCATTGAATTTATGCAATTTCTGATAGAATCCACACATTCAATGTATGATATCATTTTATATAGAATATCATGCAAAAAGATTGGATAAAATTAACACATTGTTCTCTTGTGAATCCATTAAAAAGGAAAAAGAGTGACATTGTTTAAAAATTAAGTGTCACGTAGTAATTCTAAAAAAAGTAAAAAAGAAAGTAAGTATTATGTAGTAAATCATAACGTGAATTATGAAATATGTGTATTAAATGTTATTTATATTAATAAAAAACTATGCCATAATTTCATTGTGCAAATAAAAGTTATCAATAACCACGTTCCAAAGAAGCATCACTCTTTTTATATAAAAAAGAAAAAAAAGAAAAGGAAAAAGTGTCGCTCTAGAACATGGAATATACGTGGTTATATATGAAAAGAAAGCTAGATACTTTTACTAAAATGTTTCATTTTATTAATGGGTTAATGGTTGCAGAAGTTCATTTGTTTCTTCTTCTTTTTTTTTTTTCATCTTAAGTTCATATTTCTGCATTTAATTTGATAATTTCTATCTTAATCTCGTCCCTTAATTAGTTTTTTGGACTAGCAGTATTAACTTATTTTTTTATCATCCCTCTACTCTTTTTTTTTTTTTTCTGAATCTTATATATAAAAATTAAAAGAAAAGACTGGAAAAAAGTGAAGATAAAAATATTTTTATCCAAAGTATCTTTTGTGGGATTAAATTTGTCTCTATTATAGCAAATAATTTTTTAGTACAAAATAAAATATTTTGAGCGTTTTTTTAAATAAGAAGAAAATTTTAGTTAAAATTTTAAATTTTTGAATAATATTTATAATTTTATAATATTTCAAACATGTCTATTATAATTTATTTATTTTAATTTTATAAATTTCTTAATTTGACTCGAAAGTGGAAATAAATTTTTTTGTTAGTGTTGGAACCAATACTAACAAATTTCTTAATTTGTAATAAAATTTATATTCTCACTTTTGAGTCAAATTAAGAAATTTATAAAATCAAAATAAGTAAATTATAGTATACTCTTTGTGAAATTATAAAACTATAAATACCATTCAAAAGTTTAAAATTTTAACTAAAACTCTCTTCATATTTTATAAAAAAATACAATAAATATTTTATTTTATACTTAAATTTTTTTTCCTATCATAGTGATAAATTTAAACTCATAAAAGATATTTTAGATAAAAAAATATTTTTAACTTCATTTTTTCAGTTTGTTTTTTAAATTTTTAAAAGAATGACCGAATATATCTGTATTTTTTTCAAAATTGATTTATTTATATTTGATGAAAAAAAAAACAAGATAAAGACAGGAAAATAGAGTTGATGGATTAGATTAAGAAAATAAAAAAACGAGTTAACACTATTAGTCTAAAAATTAATGAAGAAATGAGATTAAAACAGATCTCAAACATAAAATGAAGAATTTTAAATGAAAAAAATAGAAAAATACGATAAAGACAAAAAAACAACAATACTAAAGCAACATCTGCAACTATTAACTTTTTATTAATGAAGTGAATGTGCATTGTGATTTAGTTAAAGACAATCATCAACACTCAAATTAAACGGTATCTATGTTAATTTGATTCTCAAAGTCAAAACTTTACTGCGATGATAAATTGATACAGCATAGGTCTTACTTTCTTTCTTTTTTCCGAGTATATTCATGCAAGTGTGAAATTGAATGACAAGTTGTTCCATTATTTATTGAAGTATTTGATCAAAAGCCCACATAAAGATCGGCCAATAAAAACATTAGTGTCGTCCCTTTCCTTCGTCCTTTCCTAGTTCGGCCAATCTGTCTCTTTATATCGATCTTGTGAATTGTTTTGTTTCCTTAGCAAGTATTCAAACAATCTATCCATTCATGTTCAAGTTCATGATATTATAAAAGTATAAAATTGAAGAAGATACTCTTGATCAATTTAACAGACTCGATACCATTTGATCATACCAAATAAGCCCAGGAAGCAAGAGTATCTTCTCTTCAACTCTGCCTTCTTTATTTCTTTATTTAGTTTTATCTTTTTGTAAGTGGAGATCAAGAGTGGTGTTTCACATTGCAGTTCTATTTCAAGGAATTTTTGTGTTTTTAACCAACTAGGTATTCTTCAATTGTTCTTGACTTCGAACATTTGGGCATTGAATCTTCTTTTTCTCAAACACGAAGACCTGCAACCACCAATAAATCTTCCTTTTCTCACCGCTAAATTACCAAAGATCCATCACAGTGGCTTGTTCTTGGATCAGTAACATAGAACAATTACTTAATAATAGAAGTTCCTGGCCAGGTACTTCAATGTCATTGTTCGTACATGGCTTCAGAAATCCGTACGTGTGCTAATATTGAAAATCCCACCATCCAAATTCTTTAAGGGTCAAAAAAAAAAAAAAGAAAAAGGGAAAATGACACATATGTCGGCTTCCCATGTTCAATTTCGCTCAGCCCACCTGTCTCAACTTCAAAGGATGAATGTGCGTAACCATATAAAGTTGAAGCAAATTGGAGCTGCAACAATATTATATTCTTCCATTTTTTTTTAATTCTCTTGATTAAATCAATACGGCCACAAGGAAATGGACATGTCTCTTTCAGCCCAAAATTTGTGTATCTTTCTAAGCTGGAGAAAAGGGCCTATTCTTATGTTGGCTCTTTTGTTTTTACTGTTTCTTCAATTAGAAGAGTAGTATGCCAAATGGCAACAGTGATAGAACAAAATGATGGTCCTGCGACGTTTGGTTCGTTTTCTAGGACCCTAATGATTAGATGGTATATGTGGGTCTTAAAGCATTGACGAAATCCTCACAAGTTTGTTGCTCCAAACTTCATGTTAGTTGAGTTCTCTGTACAAAGAAAAAAATCCACTAGCTCCCAACAATTCTCTTTCTTCTCCCTCTCTCAGGTTTTGGAATCACAATCACATATTTAGTGCTGTTCTAGTTTCACATCAAAGAAGCACTAGGCACAGTTTATTTGGTTCAACAAAATTCTTATAGAACCACAAACACTAATGCATTTCTTTTTTCTTTTCTTTTCTTGACCAATAAAATCATTGTCTGGAAAAGGGTTCCCAATGATGTGAGGTCCTTGACTTGAGTGTTTAATTTGGAGAAAATGGCCAAGAAAACCATGTTTCTGTTTTGGAGGACAAGTGGTTGGAGTCAATATCACAATTGGATGCATGTCACATCTAGTTAATGATCTCGACAGAAGATCCTAAGGTTCCAACGTGCTATTGACAGGCAATAGGTTTTAAGGTATCTGACAATTTTCAAACTCCAGATTCCTCCACATTTTTGGACGACATTAATAGAGTACTGATTCCATGAAATATCAATTATTGCAGGACAAACTGATTTGGAAGGGCACAACTTATGGAAACTTCACCGCCAAATCAGCTTACTCCATTGCTGCAGAATCTGTGTACTAACAAGGTATAAAGAAAGATTGCTGATAATCTTATTTATTGTTCATGATGCTAAGCCTGTCAAAAGAGATTGAAACCATTCATATGAGGCTCGAAAGAAAAGCCAGTGGAACTTTTTTTGACAAGTCAGAAATCAGAATCCTCCTAAAGCATGTCTAGATTTTAAATATTTTGAAAGCTAGAAAATCTGCTGTCATTTGCAGGAATCCTCAAGAAGCTGCAAAAATCTGAGAAATGAAATGGATAATGCTTTGGCATCCTACCCTGATGGATGCACAGAAAGCAACCCAAGTAATACTAATACTGAGGATTAACTCTGTCTAATGGAGCATAGTCCTGATAGGAAAGGGTTCATGAGCAACATAGTTATTTACATTCAGAATCTCATTTTCTACACCATTTGTTTAGGACTGATGAAACAATCCCAGTTATATATGTACAATGTATTTAGAATACAGGAGACAACTTATGATCAGCTGTTAAAATACTCTTTTGCTGCT